CTAATGTGAGTTTTCATGTATCAAATTTACTTCCTCAGACATATAATATGACAAATATACATGGCCTCAAAATACAGAGCAATATAGATGATGACAAGAACAACATGGTAATAAGTTAAGACTAGAGATGGGCATAAACTGCCAAACCTGTGGTTCGTGCCCATCTCTCGTTATGACTCTCTGGTTATCTTTGAAGCTTTTAAGATGGATCTATTAAGGATAAAATATATCTGGGAGATACAGTACAGTAAAATTATCACAGTTTTTTTAATTTGTTGCTGCCCTAAGAAGCGTTGACTAATATTGAGTCCATTGAGAAGTGTGTCCAGCATGTGTATATGTTTTATCTTAGTTGTCTTTCTGGATTCATGACTTTTTGAAGAATGGCCATTTTAGATCTTGTGCAGTATCCTGGTAAATTAAAATGATGTGAAATGGTTTTCTGTGTATTGCCATTCCTGGTGTCCAATTTGTGTCCATTAATTATTTTGTGTAGAGATTGTCACATTTATCTTGTGTAGAGTGGAAAGGAGCATTGTTGGCAAAAGATGGCATAAATAGCATTGGTATCTGTGATGTTATCTGACATCTGGATTTATGGCAGGGTTTAGTCCACATCTCTGTGTCAATGTTGTGTAGTCCATTGTCAATAGTTGCTTATGACTGGGGGTTGTCTGCAAGCAAGGATATGCCACCAAGGAACTGGGAGAGTGAAGTGTTCTTGCACGAGCAGGTTGGCGCTCACTTATGATAACTGTGAGTGGTCTCAGGTGTGGACTAAATTTGACAACTAGTGGTGTTCAGTCATTTTCTCTTCTGGATCTGTCCTACAGTAGCTTACTTCTTGGTATCTGTCTTGCATTGTTGATTTGTTCCTTAATCACATGGGATGGGTATTTTAGTCTGAGGAATGCATTTTATAGCTCCTTCAGTTTGGAGTCTCTATCCTGAGGGTCTGAACAGATGCAATTGTTTCTGTGGGGTTGACTGGAAACAGTAGTATATGATGCACGTTCATTAATTTCTGAGTTTTTCAATCCAATTTTAAAAATTATTTTTGGGTCCAATCTATTATCCAGCTGGATGTATTACTGGAGTGGCCTTTTTCCCCTAATTATTTAGGTCCAATCAATCAATGACTTTTGTATGCAGGAGATCGGCTTCTGATATGCCAAGGTATTTATAATTGTCATCACTTGATAATGATATTATAATATTGCAATTCCAAAAGATCTCCTGTATGGAGAATTAGTGCAGGGAAGCCGCCCCCGAGGGAGACCACAGCTGCGTTACAAGGACATCTGCAAACGGGATCTGAAGGCCTTAGGAATGGACCTGAACAGATGGGAAACCTTGACGTCTGAGCGTTCAGCCTGGAGGCAGGCGGTGCATCATGGCCTCTCCCAATTTGAAGAGACACTTGTACAGCAGACCGAGGCAAAGAGGCAGTCCCGAAACAAACAAAACCAGGGAGCTGGACAGGGGACAGATTGTATTTGTCTTCAATGTGGAAGAGATTGTCACTCTCGAATTGGCCTTCTCAGCCACACGAGACACTGTTCCAAGACCTCCATACAGAGTACTTTATAATGATATTATAATATTGCAATTTCAGTCCTATTTTGTATTATTATTATTCAAAATTACCAGGCACAGATAAGCAAAATTATAAAACATTAATTGGTATTATATAACACATACGTCTTACCCAAAACCTAAATATCTGTTAAATATCAGCACAGTATCTGTGCTGTTCCTAATATTGACATTTTTTGTAGCTCTGATGGTGTTATTTCTGAGATCTGCAACTGCTTATAGTACTGTCTGAAATTTCTTGATATTGTTCCCAAAGCTCTGATGACTTGGGGACCACTGAAATATATATGTTTCATCCACAAGCAAGATGTTTAGATTGCCACATCTCTGTGTTTTGTTAGTTTTTACAATTCTTTATTTTTAGCTCTGGCATCCCCCATAACTTTTGTCTAGTTTTTGTATTATTATTATTCAAAATTACCAGGCACAGATAAGCAAAATTATAAAACATTAATTGGTATTATATAACACATACACCTTACCCAAAAACCTAAATATCTGTTAAATATCAGCACAGTATATGTGCTATTCCTAATATTGACATTTTTTTTGTAGCTCTAATGGTGTTATTTCTGAGATCTGCAACTGCTTATAGTACTGTCTGAAATTTCTTGATATTGTTCCCAAAGCTCTGATGACTTGTGGACCACTGAAATATGTATGTTTCATCCACAAGCAAGATGTTTAGATTGCCACATCTCTGTGTTTTGTTAGTTTTTACAATTCTTTATTTTTAGCTCTGGCATCCCCCATAATTGCAATGTCAATGATCCAGATATTTCTTCATTCTATTACTACTGTGTCTGATGTGTAATGTTCAAGGTAATTTTCTGACACTTTCTCTGCCTGATGTTCCCATGGGTTTTTCGAAGCTGGCAAGTTATATTTTTTGCATAATGACCTGTGCACTAATTTTGCCACACCATCATGTCTATAATTTGTTAAGTCTTTAGACCTTTGCAGATGAGGTGTTACACAGTTTTATCTTTTTCTTGGCAGAGTCAACATTTGCTGTTAGCACTAATTCCTTGAATGTTAGTTTTCAGCACATTGGCTTGGAGTGCTTGTTCTTGTGCAGCCAAAATCAAGCCTTTGATTTCTTTCTTAATGGTCCCCAGTTTTAGTCATGCCCATGTTGAATTATTATAATGCTTTCCATCAGTAGTTCTCAGGTGTTGTCCATGTAGTGGTTTATTTTTTCATCTGTTTATTTTTTAAAAAAATCAGCCTTTGTTTCTGTTGTTTTCAGAATATTTCCCATTTTCACCACCTTAAGTAATTTTTCTCTATTTGTTCCAGTGCAATCATTTAGGCTTCTTTTTCCCTCCTCTAATACCTGCTGTGTTTTCAGTAATCCATGGCCTCAGATTTTTCATGGTAAAAATGATCTGTCCACATCACTTTTTGAATGTAGTGTGTTATCCATATTTATTAGTTTTTGTGTTTTTTGATACACTTCTAATTCATTTTGGATCCAATCTATTATTCTAGCTGAGTCTCTAATTACTGGGATTGCCCATGTGATTATGGCTTTGATTGTATTTCCACCATTTAATTTTAAGATTTTCTGCAGTCTTTTGATGTATTCCTGTTCTGTCAGTTCTTTAACTTTTGTGTGCATGATGTTATCTGCTTCTGGTATTCCAATGTATTTAGAACTTTCATCACTTATTAGTGATTTTACCTGTATAATATTGCCATTTTTAAGTTCTATTCCATCTACTTTTTGGATCTTGCCACATTGTACATATAGAACTGAACATTTGTCAAATACAAATTTCATTTGAATATCTGCACTAAATATTCACACCATGTTTAGCAATGCTTCTATCTCAGTGGAAATTTTTGCATATAGTTTTAGGTCATCCATGTATTTTTGATTTTTCCTGTTTGTTCTGAAATATGGTAGGCCAATCCATTTTTATTTAATATTATTGACATGAGGATAAATGAGATGTTAAACAGGAATGGTGACAAAGAATACCCTTGAAATATCCCTCTTTTGTTGCTAACTTTCCCAGTTTATTCGCCATAGGCAATTAAAATATTTTTCCATGTTTT